CTTGGGCACCAGAAACTCGTTTTGTATGCGATTTTCATTCAGCAGGGTAATTTGAATATCAGTGCAGGCATTCTCTTATTAGGAGTAGACCATGGGAAAGTCACGGTTTGGCGCAGTCTGGTTTGGTAGGGGCAACTAATGGCATTCGGCGAAGCCAGTAAAGGTAACCATGCGGAGACCGGTAAGGTCTTGTAACCAAAGTGGCTCACTTGCACCATTTCGAAGCTTCACAAGACTTCGCCAGTTTACCGAAGAGAGACCTGTGAACTAGCTAAGGAAACTAAGGAAACTACAAACTACCCCCCCCCTCCCTCCTCTAAGCCGAATAGCTTCACCGATTCCTTCTTATACGAGTCTAGCCATAATTTGCCGATCCAAAAGGAAACTCTTATCAAATGTCACCACAACACCTCCCCCTATCAATAGAAACTAGGGTTCCAGCCACCTCAGGGACATTCACAGGATACCTAGACAGGAACTAGAAGAACCGAAGTAGTGGTAAGTATTTTTGCCCAACTGTAAGGGGCAAGATTTCCAAAAGTGGTGAACGAGTCTCAAGTACAGTGCATCTATTCGGATGATATTAATCCCGAGTGCATGAGGAGCCCTTGAAATATTCGTGCAAGATTATTCCCACAAAAGGTGGTACCACCTGGGCACACCATAGACTCGCCATTCTCCTGCTAGGCCTTTTATAAGTTTATTTGCATTTAGCATTTATGCCTGCCCTCCCCCTCCTTCGACGACGGATGATATAGTATGTGGGCGGAAATATGTCGTAATTTGGGGGAGTTACTGAAGCAGCGGTAGGGGTATGTGTCGTACAGAAGAAAGTGTTCTCCATCGCGATGATGTGTCCCGAGTAATACAATTCTGATGTTGATTATTCAACATTTAAGAGAATAGCTATGGCTGGCACGTGAAAACACAGTGAGTCAGCCTCTCACTTTCTTTTTTTGATGGACGGGTAGGAGGATAAAGTCTTTGCCGTTGACTGATCTCTTTTTGGGATACGATACGCTTCCTACCACTGGAACACTACTTCCACTCACGATCCTCCACAGAAACTCCCTAATAAATAAATGTCGCACGAAATCCGGATAAACGAAACCGTGCGTGCAAAAGTGGTTCGTTCCGCCTCTCCCACAAGCTACCTTTGTTCGTCTACCTCGAAAGCCATCAGAATGCAGTGCTATGTCTTTCCGGACACGTCTTGTGCCAATGAGCCATTTTTTGAGGGATGGGGGGGGAGGTTCGTGGTGTGTAGCGGAGTCGGTCCTGGGTCCGGCCAAGTGACAAAGAGCCAGGTAGAAAATGTAATTTTTTTAAAACGTGATGAGAGAAAACGGCGAATACAAGCGAACACTAACAAAACCATAACAATGCGATGATTAGCTTCAATCTAGAAGAATTCCTCAAAATGTGTTCTCGTCAGCAAATTGACGACTTCGAGATCCTTCAATTTCCCTACGGATTTTTGATAGATTGCTGGTACCAACATGGATCACGGTTGCCCCAGGTTCGAACAAAGAACATAGCCCCACCTTCTCCACCTCCGGTAGGTTGTGAGTTGCCCTTCAAGGTCTTTCGACGCCTTCAGTTTTTGATAACAAATGAGCTCCGGCCAGTTCCTCTTCCTAGCCTTCCCCATTTTACTCACGAACGATCTCGCACAGAAACACAGCTAGGTTGGACTGGGTAAGGGCTGAGTTTACCGTAACTTAACAGAATTTTGCGATGACTTTTGTATCGCAAAGCGCAGCAAAAAACAATGGTCGCCATAGTAAAATTTCCGCGCAGTTCAGCTCGGTGGCACTCTGCTGTCTCCCACCGACTACTGTCAATGCCTCCTGTGTAGACCTGTAAACTCCTGTAGAAGCTAGGCAGCACCGTGAGCTTCGCTCGCGCTTTACAAGAATCTACAGGTGTTACCAAGGCGAGAAGTGTATTTTAACTGGAAATAGAAGAGGTGCAAGAATGGTTCCCTCCCCCCTAAACCGAACAGCGCCGGATTTCGTGGTATCGTTGACTACCACGACCAGAATTGTGAATAAAGATGAGCATGTGGGAGCATCTGATCAAGGCCAAACATAAAAGGGGGGAGTCAGCCCTGTGCCTAAAAGAACAACATTTTCTTGAAGAATGCAAATGTAACATTATGGATGAATAGTGCACAAAGTGCATTCAGATGGAAGCCAGCGGCCGACTAGTCATTCTGGCTTCTGCGCTGGCTTCGCTTTCCTGACAGTGAATATTTGATTCCACCCATGCAAATTCCTTTGAGATCAATCGATACGATTAGACCGTGAAAATGTCACTTTTTAGTGTTTGGCAGCGAAACGATACATTCATAGGTTTTTTAGTTTTTCGAGTCACTGTACGAAAGTATGAACAGATATTGAAGCCATGAAAATTGAAAATTATAAAAAAAGTGGTAACTCTGCAAATGTGCAGTGGGATTTCTCAGAGTGCGATGTATCCTGACCGCACTCTGGGGAATCCCAGCGGGAGGTCGTGTTTGGTATTTCGTAAAAATTCTGAACAACACGGTCCGCGATCATGTATAAAAGGTGACAACATTGAGTCGGAAGAGTAGTGTGGTCCGTGGCGAACAAAATTGCACCAGTTTCATTGCAAAAAATCGTAAGGGAGGGGCGCTATAGCGCAATAGAGTGACGCTCCTTTTTTCAGTGACTCCGCCCCCAGACTCCGCCTTCGAGGCCGGCCTTCCAGTGAAAACAAAAA